CATGTATCACCCCAGCAGACCTGAGAGCATTTTGAAACAACCTCAACTTCCTTGGAAGCATACAGAGCAAGCAGCCATTTATAGGCGCTAAAACACTAACATGCTGCCAAGATCTTTCGTTGTCTATGGCCGGGTACCCATTTCCACCTGAGTGAAGTAAGGAAAATTCGTGTAAAATGCCTTTCCCACAGGGACACAACGTCGAGCCCGAGGCTCGAACCCCCGACCCCGCTACCTCACGATTACGAGTTCTGTAGCCTAACCACTAGACCACCAACGCCACCGACAGACAGAGATACTCGACAAGATACCTCCTCACTCAAAAATCAAACACACGCCTAGGGGACTCTCATGGCCTAGAGGTTAATGTGTTCGCCTCTCATTCAAAGGCCCCGAGTTCGAATCCGGGCGGCGACGGAAAAAGTTTCTTCTCTAAAATTAGTCTTCTTTCGCCTCCTTTCCTGCTCTCTAGCAATGATCTGTTGTTTGTTTTCGTCTCCACTTTCTGCCCTTACCCCCTCTCCTCCTTTGTCCCCTCCATTGGGCTCCTGACTCTTTCAGCAGCCCTTCTACTGGTACTTGCTAGCTCCCTCTTACTGGTGTCTTTCAGCCACACCCCTGATCTTCTGGTAGGAAAGATCTACACCTAGCCTTCACGGAAAAGGGAGAAAAGTCTCGGAGGTCCCGAGCGCACGTTGCGCACGTTAAAGATCCCTTGGTGGTCGAAAAGCGAGAGTAGGCTCACGCGGCCACCCGGGAAAAATTCAAAATTCCCTACCAACTGAAAATGTTTAACGTGTCCCGCGCACTTATATGACTTTATGCAGCTTGCGAACGCCGTAAAACACTTTTTTTTTAATTTAAAAAACTCACGCGTACTGCGTGCGAAGGCGAAGCGAGTAAACGCAACACCACAGGCACCATTGGTATGTACTTCAGTGTTCAAATCATGAACACACCTTTGCTGAAAGTGATTATAGCTGAAGCAATGCCGCAAACAATTAAACATTCTTGATATTCATCTCTAAAAGTTCAGTTGGTACTTGGATTTCACAATTTCATTATGACCAGTAACATTTTTTGTTTAAAAAATTGGTCTTCATGAAGTGCTCGCTATCTTTGCACCACCAGTCACGTTTCCAATTCTCTAGTGCTCAATAGAATAATGAAGAGAACAGGCGTCATTCCCTCTACAATAATTGTTATTTTTCTTTGGTACACACACAATGGTTTTAACCCCTTTCTAAACTTTGACAGATTCCTTTGAAAGAGACGTTTAAACCCTATACTTTCTTTATTAAGATTTAAACCCCTTCTGAACACTGGCAGATTCCTTTGAAGGGGGCGTTTAACCCTTACAATCTACACATTTTTATTATGATTTAGGCCTGTTCTGGACGTGTGTGTATGTGTGTGTATGTGTGTGTATGTGTGTGTATGTGTGTGTGTATGTGTATGTGTGATCGACATAGAGAGTGTGTGTCTACAAGTGTGTGTCAAAGTGAAAATGAGTGTGTGTATATAATATATATTATGTGTGTTTGCGTGGTATATGGACGTCCATGCCTCTCTTAATATGCGTGCGTGTGAATTATGTATGTCCAGCTTTTCTTCAGGATACTAAGACCCCCTCCCCCTTCCCCCAACTCCCTACCCACCCACCTTTCAAACTATTCAATCACAAGAAATATGATCGAAATTGGCTTGAAGACTCTTATAATTACCATAATCTGCTGTGAGCTTTATTGTGGGTTCAGATTATAGTGGGTAACTTGTAACTATAGAAAGAATGACTTCTATAGTTTGTAATTTTTTTACGTTGGGGAAAAGTCAATTGTTGGGGAATTCTTCATTGATATATTTTTTTTCGCTGTATGTTTTCTGTTCACAAATTCTCACCAACTCTTCCCTTTTTCACTTTCTCTCTTTCTCTCTCCTTCTTTCTATTTATCTGTCTGTCTATCTATCTATCTGTCTATCTATCTATCTGTCTGTCTATCTATCTATCTATCTATCTATCTATTTATCTAT